ACATAAATGTTTAAATAATCATTTCTAAAAATAATTTCTGATGTCAATATTAATATTTACATCAAAAATATAGATTTAGATTTTTTTTAAAGATATAACATAATAATATAATTATTTTTTTCATAATCTAATCTTGATAATCTTAACATAATAAAGTTATTTTTTTTATGTTATGTCTAAAATAAAGTAAAATATCCTTTAATCTGGTTTCCAGATACGAGAATTTTTCCATAGAATTTAACATAAAATATTAATCGAATATTCCATTTCATAATTTATTCTTAAAGTAGATTTCTAAATATTAATAACATTATGCTATTATAAAAATCAAAATATTAAATATTTTTCAAAGAAACTTCACTTCATAAGCTTCATAATTTAATAATGAAACGAAATCGAATAAATTTATATTAATTATAAAATAAAAAGAAAGATTAATAAATTTTTTAATAAATTATAATTTATCCTCTGAGCAGATAGTTTTTTAGTTTTGAATGATGATGTAGACATATTCGAACGTATCGCAGGTCATACGCCCTTCGCATGAGTTGGGACAGTTTTATGTATAGAAAGATTTGATAAAATCAACGATAAAAGGCTGACAGAGAATTCATTCATACGTCTCAACTTCCAACTCGTGAATCTAAAGGAGACTTATGGGCCACCGTTTCCCAATCTTCCTTTCTACCAACGGTTCAGATTCGGCAATGTGTGTTCGTCTTCTGTGAATCATTTAATTCGATGTCCGTTAAGATTGTAGTTCTTTTTTAGAAACTGTAATCTTATTGCGTTTAGGGAACTAGGCCTCGTTTGTTAGTGTTGAACTTGTTTGGATAATGGCACGCTTAGTTAAGCTTCTTTCAACACGAATATTTATTAGGTGTGTGAGTTAATTCGAAGCATTTAGTTTTTAAATTATGATATAAGAAATACGAATTATTTGTAAAATATAAAAATTTTTTTCCTTCGAATTTCTTAGAATCGTTAATATTTAAAATTTACGTCAATAGATAAAAGTCAATAAGATAAAAATTAATGAATATTTATATTGAAATAATTAAGCGTGTAGAGATATAAATGATTTAAAATAATGTTAAAAAAAAAATAAAGAAAATAAATATTAATTTACTTGAAAAAATAAATTTTTTTATTTTTCTTATTTTTCTATTTTTTTAAATATTTTTATCGAAATTGAATTTTTGTTCAAATAAACAATATAAATATTCTTAATAAAAAAAATTTTTGAAAATTCTTCAATGTGAATTTCTATTTATTATTATTAGACAATTTTAACATTTTTATTAAAAAATCATTAGATTATGAAAAGTTTTTATTCCATGTAGAAATTATTAATGCAATTATAAATTTTTAGTCTACTCAAAAGCTAAATCAAATCATATTAAATGAACCAAAATTGCATTTTAATTATTATAAATGAATATATATATTATAATATATATTATATATATATATACTATATAAAATTTTAAATAAAATTTCTTTTCTAAAATTTTTATTATAATAATAAACTTCGTATTTATAACTATATTTTATTTTTATATTATTATAATATATTATTATATATATACTTTATAATATATATAATTATATAATTATACATAATTATAATTATATATATATTATAATATATGTAATATATATAATATATATTAATAATAAAATAATATATATATATATAATTATATATATATACTTTATAAAATTTCAAATAAAATTTCTTTTCTAAAATTTTTATTATAATTAGCTTCGTAATTATAACTATATTTTATTTTTATTTTCTTGATTCTAATTACTGTCTATAACTTATAGAAATTTTTACTTTTGGATGTAATATTTAATCTAAAAAAATTATTAAAAATATCCGGATTTCAAGTAAAAGAGTATTATTGCTCTAAGTTATTAATTTTATTTAAAAGAAATTTAAAAGAAAAAAAGAAAGAGAAACAATATTTTCACAAATGATTTTTGTGATTAAAATAGAACAAGTATAATAATCAATATTTTAATGAAAAAAATTGATTCTATAATTTAAATGTACATTTTTTTAATACAAATCTTATTCTATTTTATTTATTGGGTAAAATGGAATATCTCAAATTCTTTTTTTAATTAAAAAGTCTCTTCTAATAATCCAACTTATTTAAAAGATTTATTTTTATCTTAAAGATTAATTTCTATCTTATCTGTACTCTTTACTTTCCTCTGATACAATAAAATATTTTAATCTATATTAATCATCTTCGACGACAAATTGTCTACTTTCAGTTGATTATAAAATTACTAATAGCTTTTTTTCAATATCTTTCTAAGATATCTTTAAATTTAATATTTATTGTATAGTAATCAATTTTGAAAGCTAGATAACAATTAGTCAAAATCAAAGTTTGCTTTTTATATAGATAATATCACTTCTACTACTATTATCTACTACTACTATATCGATACATATAAAATTGCATTTTCACTGCATTGGATATTGCAAGATTATAATACTCAAAATTAATCATTTTTTGTATCAAGTAAAATTTCTTTAACAAAATAGAAAATATAACAAAAAATATATAAAAATGAAATTTTCTTACCTATTATAAACACTTCAATTATCAAAAAGTAAATGGTTCTTAATCAATAAAGAGAAAAAGGAAAAAAAAATTATTTTCCTTAGTGAATTGCTTATTGAACGATCAACCGAAACAAAATGGATAACAAATACTTATTAAAACGATTGAATAACTCTGGTTGGCAAATATTAAGTCGATGAAGAAGAGGGAAAAATATAAAAAAAGAGAGGAAAAGATAAATATAAAGAAAGGGTAGATAATGTCTGATTAAAGGTGCAGTTTTTTGATGGGCAATTACTCTTAGATAGAAGCTCATTGAGTCTCTGGTTTTTTTTCTCTCTCTTATATTCTTTCTCTTATTCTTTTTTTCCCTTCCTTCTATTCGTATTTCCATCTTCCGCCGAATCATTACGATCCACGCTTCAGGGTACATATTGGTTGATTATAATCGCAGAACACGCCCCAGAATTAATCATGATAAAATTAATAGACTTCCATTCGGAACGCGTGTGTTTAGTTAAATGGAAGAAAGTTTTAATTGAATATATTTAATAGAATAATAATCTTATGTTATTGAAATAAAATATGTATGATTGCGATTAACTAACTAAATTGATTTAAAAATTTTAATATATTGAATGTCATATATGGTAGATTGGATTTTAATCAAATAAACAAAAAGTTAATATTATTTGTGATTGTAAATAAAATAAAAATATATATAATATGTACAAAACATATAATATTTATTATTTATTAAATATTTTTATATTATTTAAATAATTAAAAAGAAATCAATTTTTGTTTACTATTTTTTGATTTTAATTCTTCTGCTAATACAAAATCATTTCCATTTTTTTTTAGAAATTATAATTTTAATATATTCATATGAATTATTAAGATATCAAAATGATGAATACTATATTTTGAAAAATTTTTGATTTTAGTGATAGAATGTATGATAATTAAATTTTCAGAAATCAAATAATTAATTTTTATAATTATTATTAATATTAGTTTTAATAATTTAATTAATTTGAAACATTGTTCTGAAAAAGCAACTGCTTTTTTGACGAAATTTGACTGATTTTTTTTTTTTTTTTTTTTTTTTACTATGAGATTTCATATTATCAATCAAGATTTCATTTTGAGAAAGGAATTATTTCTTATAAATTTTTAATTATATAAAATAAAAAGAAACTGAAATAAATTGTCGACATTTTAACTTTGAATATTACAAAAAATTAATATGCTATTCCATATTAGATAGAAATTTCTGAGACATTTTTTCTATCTTTAAAAAAATTAGGATCTTAAATGCCATTATATTAAAAAGAAATAAGATTTTTTAAATATCTCAAAAATTCATCCTCTAAATTTTTTATATTTTAAAAATATTAATCTTTCCAAACATTTAATTGAATTTAAAAAATTTTCAATTGTTTAAAAAAAATATTTTGAAAAACATTTTACTTTGTTACTTTGTTACTTTGTTACAAATTTACTTTATAATAAATTTTATATTATATCAAATTATTTATAATTTATAAGTTTTATTTATATATATTTTATTTTCAAATCATTATTTTATTTATGATTTAAAAATAAGAATATTATCTTTTTAAAATTTGATAAATAAATATATTTGAAAAAATTCAAATCAAAAATATATCATATAAATTTAAAGTAAAAGAATAAATATTAGCAAATTACTACCGCAAAGCCTTATTCAGATTAATCAATTTTGATATTAAAAAATTGATTGCGCGAAATTAAAGTTATGTAACTGCTATTTCGTCAATTGTGAACTTTTATTTTTTATTTGACTTTAAAATATTTTTTCAAGTTTCTGTTTTCGTTTTTAATTAGCTTAACTATTAATTAGATTAATTAAATAATTGAAATCATTTTACTATTATAATAAAAATAAATTAGTAATGAAAAAATTTTGAAATTTTTAAAAATGTTACTTTATGAAATAGTATATTGCAATATGAAATGTGAAAGATAAAAATTATGACGTACAATGAATTAAAATGATGATATAAAATAAAGATATGAACATGAATGTATTAAAAATACATTTAAAACTTTTTTCATTATTATAATATACATTTTAACAAAACTTTTCAATATTATTTTAGATATTTATCATTTCAGATTAACTTATTTGAATTCGAAATATTTAAATTCAACTAATATATTATTTTGAACTGGATTTTCGAGTTAAAGTACTTGAGTTCCAAATACTTGAGCTCTTGACTAATTGAAATCTTAACTAATATTAACGAGTCTTAAGTTGAATAAAAAAGAATAAGGAAAAAAAAGTTGAAAAATGCAGAAAAGAAAGAGTTCTTATACGAACGATGGAAAGAGATTTATTTGACAGAGTATAATTTATAACTTTGATCGTTTCAGATTATCTTTTCCCTCAGGACATTCGTCGTTCTCGGCCTACACGATGATCTACCTTGCAGTAAGTTTTTCTTTTTCCTTTCTTTCGAATTTATGATTATGCATGCTTTCTCGATTCTATAATCGATTTTTTTACTGTTGATCACAAAATTATTCAAATACTAATGTATATTTAATAGTCTATATCTTTGTTTATTTTAAAAAGTATAAATTTAAATCTGTTTATTTCGAAAATATTTATAATACTTTATAAATACATACATTTATTTAAATAACTTGATATAAATAAAATAATATTAAAATTATTTTACAAAAATATTATAGTTATAATTATATTATATTTATAAAACTTTATGATTATATTTATATTTATGATTATTTATAGTTATTTATATTTATATTTATATATCATATAAATATATTTATATTATATTTATATAATAAATAATTTATTGAAAGAAACAAATTTGAATTTATTTCTTCCATTAAAATTAAGAAACTAAATATTTTTATTTTAACTTGAATAAAAATAGAAAATAACAATTTGCATCAATTAGTATATTAAAAAATATACTAATTATAATATAATTTCAATTTAAAACACAAACTAATTTGACTTTATGTCCCTTATAAATTAATTTACAAAAATATTATTATAAAAATATTAAATAATATTATAATCTTGTACATCTTGTATAATGAAACATTTTTTTATACATCAAATAATTTATGAATTATTATATTATTAATTTATGAATTATTAATTTATTATATATTCACCTTATGTAATTCATTTTGTATAATATACATATTATATATGTATTATTGCCATAAAAATTTTCTATAACAAACATTCTAATATATATTATTCAAAACAAAAGAATACAATAATGTAATAAAAAAGAGAAATATAATGTTTAGCAGCTGAAAATTGACGTTTCATAATCACATGTTTCACATCAACCTACTCATTTCTTGCACCTTAATTGCATTCTTGCATCGTGCACACCTTTCTTCATCCTTTGAATATACAATGCCCCACCTTATGTTACATTAAAATGAAAGCAACATTTGCATAATAACTCTTTCAACGATGTGTAATTTGCATACAGAATTTTTTTCCTCTCTTTTTTATAGATGTATTTACAATTAAGGATAACTTGGAAGGGTAGCAAACTGTTGAAACACTTCCTGCAACTCGTGTGTCTACTTATGGCCTGGTTTACCGCATTGTCGCGAGTTTCCGATTACAAACATCATTGGAGCGATGTTCTTGCCGGCTCGACCCTTGGCACTATCACAGCGCTGGTCGTGGTAAGAATTATTCCTCTTAACTATCCTCCTATCCTATTGTGTGATCATAAATTACACGCGATCGTGAATATGAAATATGCGATATATCGAGTTGCTCCAACTTTTATGACCTCTATTGGTCGCGTTTGTTTGGAAGAAATAATAATAATAATCGGAAATATTAATAATGTGTATACATAAGTAAATACCTATGCGATAGAATATAATTTTTCTATACTCTATTTATCAAAAGAAAAATTTATTGATTATTGATTTTATATTATTGATATTTATTAATTCTATATTATATATCTATTTAATGACAAGATGAAAGTTTTTTTTTTGATTTCGATTTTTTTTTAATTTATTTAAAGTTGAGATTTGTAAAGAGTTAATTATATTTCTAAAAATTAATGAAATAGTAATTAAAATATGATACGACTTATTATTTATTTATTTATTTCTAAATTTTCGTAAGAACTTATTTTAATTTTTTATACAGCAATGAAATTTTATTTATTTTATTATCATTATTTTTCTTTTTTTGATGAATCATTTATGAGATTTTATTATATTTATTATATTATACATAGAGAGTCGATTCTAGATATCAAAACAAATACAAAAATCGATATACAAAAATGTCGAATAAAGATTATTTATTAAGTTATGAACAATTTAATTTGATATTAGAAAAATTTACATTAGATAAAGCGAGATATAACGATACAGAGCGAGACAATTGCTTACAAATAAATAAGCCTTTATCAACATTTTATATATATATATTCATATTTTTGTACTTATTTGACTTTTATTTTAGAATCGAGCTCAAAAATATATTAATTTCACGAATATATTATCACTGTTATATATGAATAATTAATATTAATATAATATAATGAAATTATGTATTAATATTTTCTTTCTAAAATACGTAATCATGTTTCTGAGGAAATACAAATCAACATCTCATTCTATCTCCGTTTTACTTTTTTCAAAGCGAATTTAAATTATTATTATTATATAAATTATTATAATAAATTATTTATAATAAATAAGCTTTAATCGATATTTTTATAATGTATAATTATATAAATATATAAATTTTTATAATTTTTATTTTGGTCTTCAGAATTTATGGTCTTCAGAATTTATTTATTTTTTATAGCTGAATTTAAATGAATATATTAATATACTACATAATGTAATTACATACATATATACATATAAATAAATGAATTATTTCGTGGAATATTACTTTTAGCAATGATTTCTATATTTTGAAAAAGTTATTACAATGATTTATATTTATAAGTAAATCAAGATTTATCTTAAAACATAATTATCTTAATTTATCTTAAAATATATTATAATAATTTAACTATTTCATGTCTTTTGATTAATTTTTAAAAAATTAATTGATAAACCTCATAAATTAAATTTTTACATAGAATAAAAATTTATATTTATTTAAAATAATAATATATTTCAAAATATATAAATATTTCTAATTTATTATTTATTTAGAAAAAAATATATTTAAGAAATCATCGAATATAATAATATTATAATAAATATTAATTATATCTATTACTTACTATTTATAATACCAATATGTACATTTTCAATATAATAATAATTTTTTACTAATTTTAATTTTTCAATACAATAATAATTTTGTTATATTGATCAATATTTCATAATTGCATTAGAATTATAAATATAAATATTATATAAATATAAATATAATATTAAATTAAATATAATTATAATAATATAATTATAATAATTATAATAAAATATAATTAAATATTAAATTATATAAAAAAAAAATATTAAATAATAAAAATAAAAATATTATATTTTTGTTTACTTATTCTATAATTTAATAATTTTCTAAGAAAATTAAATTTCTTGTTTTCCTTTCATCATAACATAATTCATAATTTATCTTTATCTGTATCTAAATTTCATTTATTCTAATAAAATTGTATCCTATTAAATCAATTTCTTTTAACTGAATAAAAAATAGTGCTTAGCGATGAAAAACAGGTGAACTTCTATTATTTGAATTCCATTATACAAACTCTTCTTCAGTGTTCCGATAAATGGAGTTCTACTGTAGTATATCTTCGATGCAAAATGAATGTTGGTATTCGGGTTGAGTTATTTACGTTCAAATTAAAACTCGATGGAAATGATTAGAAGCCATTAATTTGCAGATAAGCATAGTGACTATAATAGTGATTGATATATATTGTAGGATTTGTTTTGTGATATGGTCAACGAATGATAACTCGCTTTAGGCGATGCAGCGAAGTGAATTTAAATAAGGTTGTTAAATGCAGAAATGGAATATTATCTAATAATGATCTTTATAATAAATTAATTGTTATTGATTAAATAATTAATTTTTAATTTTTTATTTATCTTTTTTTTTTATTTTTTGTATTTTGTTATGATCCATTATATATTTTCTATTATAAATGAAAAGTATGTTTTTGTATTGATTTTTATCGAATTTTTGTTATCGTATCATGTTATTTCATTTTTATTTCATTTAATGCAACTGATGTATTTATGTTGAATGATTCTTAGATCCAATTATATTATTTATTCACATATTCGTAACATTATTTACATTTACGTAATTATATTCATAATGAATATTATTATTAAAAATGATAATATTATTATTAAAAATGATGAAAATAAATGATTTTAATTAATTTTTATGACTTAATTATAAATTATTTTTTATTTAAGCAAATCTCGAAAGTTTTTATTAATTTCAATATTACAAAATTATATGTAAATATATTTAATAAACAATTTAAAATATTCATTTTATAAAGAAATATCATAAAATCCAATAAAACTTAGACTATAGATGAATAAGAGTAAAAGAAAAACATTCAGTAAAACTTAGATTAGATAATAGAATAAAAATATAATTTTTCTTATATTATCTCATTGATTATCAAGTTTATTTAAAAATTAGTATTAACATGTAACGATTAAATGTAAATCACGCAAGAATTTTTATTAAACAATACAAATTCTATAGATTTTTTACCGACAAAAATTTTAAACATAAATTTTAAACGCAAATAAAGAAATAAAACGTTAATTAAAATTATCTGTGTTCTTTATTTATCATCACTAGATATCTAATCACAGTGAATTTGTTTTTCTTTCTCAATAATTCTCAATATTTATTTTAAAAATTTATTTTTGTAGTTTATAAAAATATTTTCATTGAATTTAATTGCATTGTTAATTATGATACATTTAATTCAATGAAAATAATAAGAAAATAATAATTATTTAATTATTATTAAATAACAATTAGAATTTATATTCCATTGAATTAGACTGTAAAAAAAATTAAATATTATAATTTTTATGTATGTAAAAATTTGAATTTAACCTTCATCCTTGTAAAAAAAATCATGTTTTTTTCTTTTTTATAATTATACAGCTTTACCAATATTATTATTATTTATTATTGAAATGAACAAAGTTCGTAAGGAAATTTAAGAATTTTATTAGAATTATTCCTTTTTTTTAAAGATGAGTTTTAAAGAGAAATTGTTTGATTTTGCAATATTAAAATAAAAGTATAAAATTTTAATATTTTTACTTGTAAAATTAACATTGAATTGTAATTTCAATGTAAAAAAAATAAAATGAAATAAGATTACATATATTTATATAATATAAATGTTATATTTTTATTATAATACTTTGATGAGAATAAAATACATTTAAGAGATCGATTATAGAAGTCAAAAAAAAAAAATAGAAAAATTTATAAATTAAAAAATATCAATAAAGATTTATTTATTAAATTTTAAACAATTGAAGCAATTTGTGTTGAATGAAGACGAAAATAGAATGAAATAGTTCTATCTTTGTCGTTGTTTCGGTTTGTCTCGCTTCATCTAATGCAAATAAATTATTTATAAATGAATAATAAATAAGCTTTATTCAAAATTTTTGTATATTAATTTTTATGTTTGTTTTGATGTTTAGAATCGATTCTTTAAAAAAAAAAATGTATTAATATTCTGTACATGTATTTAGATAGATATATATACTACGTAATTCATAATTACATGTATTTATATAATATGAACATGATTATTTTAATATTTAACAAACTTCGAAAACTTACAAGAATTAAAAGAAACTTGTTAAAACTTGTTAAAAAAAAATTTAAGAATAATATTATAATGATTCTTAAATTTATAATTTTCAAATTAAAATAATTTCAAATTAAAATAATCATGTAATTTAGAATTTCTTCCATTTACTTGTTTAAAATCTCATTTATTTTATTATTAGAATTTATATTATTATACAAGAAAATATATTAGTTCATTATTTTCTTCGTTGTAAAATTAATTATGCGAAAATCATCGATTAAAAAAATTTTAAGGACATTCCATTACACATTAGAGTGAAACGAAACAAAATTTATTTTCATTATTTTTATAAATTTTTGTTCAGTAATTTATGTTTATTATTTAATATTTTTTATTTAATAGACTATATGAAAATAATTTTGATAAAATTTGAATTAAATTTGGAATACATCATAAAATAAATAATATTGATAATATGACAAAATTAAGAATTTTAAAAAGTTAAAAGATATTAAGATTTAAAAAATTAAAAATCTTTAAAGACTTGGATATTTCAAAAATTAATTTTACGGAAACTATTTCTCGCAGATTTACGAAAGAGATTGCTATTAAAGAAATATTTTCTTGCTAAGAATTGCCAGAAAATCACAATCATTACATTTTAACTTTTTCGTTTTATTCTCAATGCACACATATCGTTCTTGAACCAATATACGCTTATCAGATACATTTCGATATATTTTTCACAGGCAAACTTCGTTGCAGACCTGTTCAAAGATCAGAATCACTACTCAGTGGAGGAGAAACATCGAACGACAGATTACGAAACAGGCACCGGTACACAGGTGAATAATGGCACTACTAATCGCAACTGTTGACCTAACGAGCTAGCTCTTCGCTTGCTGACCACAACAAGACCATGACTGTCTTATAGTTGTCTCTGGGAAGTTAGTTCTGGTCTCGGGGAACAAAAACATACGCTGCTGATGGGCGCCTCAAGTGAAGGAAAATTGAAAAATGTGTATGGTGTTCCCAAAAGCTGGTGTGTCACAAAAAATTTTCTCATTCGACATCGAAACTGCCTTATGTGCTGTTTTGGGAGACCATTCATCGCCTTCTCGACGACACTTCTAGACATCATTATCCACCATTTCTTCATCATCATGCAGTGCTGATCATAAAGATTCTTGTAAAAAAAATGGAAAAAAAAGAAAAAGAGAAACAGAAGGAAAAAGAAGCAAAAAAGAAAAAAAAAAGTAATTTTTCAAAATGAAACATGATTATTAAACGAATTTTTCATCCTTTTTCGTATTACATACGCCGTTTCGCTATGAAGCTTTCTCTTTTCAGCATTCTTTATGTTCGAATTTTTGTATTTTTTTCTTTTTCTTTCTTTCTTTCTTTCTTTCTTTCTTTCTTTCTTTCTTTCTTTCTTTCTTTCTTTCTTTCTTTCTTTCTTTCTTTCTTTCTTTCTTTCTTTCTTTCTTTCTTTCTTTCTTTCTTTCTTTCTTTCTTTCTTTCTTCTGTTCTTATGGTGGAAGAATTTATCTAAAGCGAAGAGCAAATTTTTTATATAGATTATTTGTATCTTATCGTTATTTTAGCTTTGTTCGAAGGATTTTCGTATTAACGATACGTCCTCGTTGTCTCTTATTTCGTCCAAATTATCCGTTCGTGTAAGATCTCGTATAGATTCGACGATCTTGTTATTTTTATGTCTATTTTAGAATTCGGGAGAAGGTAACATTCCTCCCACTTCTTTTAACGGATTTTATGATAAAATATCAAAGTTTAAGTATTGGCGCAAAGACAGAAAGAAATTTTAACATTAGAACTTCGGAAATTTTATTCTTGATTATTTTAAGTTTCATTCAATAATTTTCTTCATTTGATTTAACTATTTTTTTTATTTATACTCAATTGAGTTTTAACGATGCATTCTAATGGCATAATTATTTTATATTATTAATCAATTGACTAATCTTTTTAATTGACACATTCAATGTGATATACAAATATAAAGAAGGAAAATGATTTATATTAATAATTTTTCAAAAGTTGGATAATTTTATATTTTTTATAAGATCACTGTATGTAATATTTTTTTTCAAATTTTATCGATTAATTTTTTCTTTTAAGCATAAAATAAGATTTTACAAAAAGGCGAAGTTGAAATTAAAAAGTTTACTAGAATTTGTTGAAAAAAGTTTATAGAATTATCAATAATTAAAATGGAAAGATAACGAAAAATAAACAAAAAGATCAAGAAGAAAATGACTTTATCCGGGGTTCTAGAGTTAATGAAAATATTATGTTACAGTGAGAATTTGTACAGGCCGAAACTTGTTCATAGTTTCAGCGAAGATATATTTATTTCTTGTTGAACGTTATTTATTTATATAAGTGAAAACGGATTGTGAAAAAAAAAAGAGCGAACATATATATTTCTTTCTCTTTATATAGAGAGTATTACATGTTCGCGTTAAAGATACGCTATATTTTCTAATTAGACTTAAAAAAGAAGAAAAGAAGTAAATGCGGTATATATTGATTTTTATATTCTTGTACTATATTTTAATAGATTAATCTTGTTGGTATTTGGTGCTCTTGAATCTACTTACGCAGAAGATTATTTAACATTAAAAATTATAATAATAAAAAGCAAAACACGATAATTATTTCTTCCTATTTTTCTCTTTCTTGCTTAATTAATATCGAATTTCAAAAGTAGCAAAATTTTCAGTATTGATAATTTTTATGTTATATGTATATTATTAACATATTTGTTATTAAAAATGAATAATTAATATCATTCGTTGTTTGCTGGAAAAGTATAGTACGTATTCTTAAATCTTCGAGTTGTAATCGACTTGGAAAAAAAATGGTGCAAATGAGAAAATCTCTTTATATGTAAAATTAAATTAAATTAACTCTATCGGTATTTGACATAATTATAAAAATGTTTGCAAACAAAGAAAAAAAACTTTATAACAATATATGAATTTTATTTAATTTAACATTATCACCAAAAATTCGATTTAATGTTTAATCCTTGAACAATAGACAGATTAAATTACATATTGTGTCAATTCAATCAACATCAAATCAATTATAGCAGAATAATATTATCATTTTTGTTTCAAAAGAAAACCTTAAGTTCTCCTTTTCATTAAAATCACGTAAATGATTACTTTGATAAAAAAAAAAAAAAAAAATACTAAAATGATTTTTGCAAATTTCAAATAAGATATACTATAAAGTTAACAATTTTACAAAATTAACATGTACAGTATAATTAAAATAATCAAATGTATTGAAAAAAAATATATTAAATCAAATATATAAATATTTCCACAATAGTGATAAAGAAAAATTTATAAAAATATATAATAGATATTATATCTAGATAAATCTTCTAAATAAAATAATTTATTTTTGGAATAGATTCACTTGTACCACTTTTCCACCAAACCTTTCGATTATTTTATTGTGATGTTTTTACGAATAATTTACACAATATTACAATTATGATAAAAATATGTTTAAAAAACATAAGAAAAATATATATTCATCAAGATTTTATAGTATGTGACGAGATCATAATGTTTATTCGAGTTTCGTTATTCGCCGAATAATAGAATCTGTTACGATAAGAAATCTTTAATGCAATAATAAATCGATAAATAAATTCGTAATGAACATTTGTTTAATGCAAAGTATTACGATAAATATCATTAGTTGAAAAATGAGCAAAAGAACGAGTTGAAGAATAAAATGGATTAACGATAAAATTAATTACATTGGATTACTATATAATCCTATCTGAATTTTTACAATTACAAATAGATCATGATACTATTTCGAAACTATTAATATATATTTATTAAATTACTAAGATATAGATTCTTAATACTTCTTAATACTGTAGATATACAATGTACGTAGTTATAGGACGAGAGAAAAAAAAAGGAAAAGAAAAAAAGTCATCCTTTTCTCATTGATTTTCTATTAAAAACTTTTTACATAATTCGAATATAGCGAATGTACTAAATCACCTTTGATATGTATATATCAATATGTATATATTGATATGTATATGTAGTAATGTAATTAGTATATACTATATAATATGATACATACTTATCTATATATGGTGCTTTAAAGAGTTTTACACAAGTATAAATCACATAAGTATAAATTATAAAAATTAAATATTTTTTAAAATATAATTTTAGAAAATTCTTAAGATTTTCACGGCTATAATATACTATAACATAATTGTTATAAAATTCGAGGAGATTTTATCTTCTGAAAGAGCATGATTAAGATCTGGAAAGCTTGATTTTCACAATTATAGTTTTGTAAGTATTATAAGATTTTGTTTGTTGATGAGCTTACTTGTCTTTAAAATATATATCTTGTATAATATATGAAATTTATTTAGATAGAGATTTATTTAGATTATTTTCAATAATCAATCATAACTAATACAATCTTACATCTATTTTCTTTGCAAACATTGAATTAAATTAAAAAAAAAATTATTCTATGTTGAATTAAAAATTATTTTAATTCGTAAATGAAACTTTCAAATAAAAAATGTTGTTTTATAATTTTAAATTATTTTTTTAATTTACTTAATTAAATTTTTAAATTTCATTTTCTGATAATTCTTATTTTTGATTTTTGTCTAATTTAAAAATTTTTTTATATCAATTTTTCGATATCAATTACATCGAAAATTTCAACCATTTTGTAAGTATAAAATATTATTTTATGCTATAACTTAATACATATTTAATATTTTTATTATAATAATAGTATAAAAATAAGAATTAAACGTATATAATATGTAAATTATTTTTAACATAGAATTCAAATATTTAAATAATAATAAAATTTTCTTTATATGTACAATATATTTGATTTATGTCGAATCATTCAAATATTTCAAAAAATATGAATAATAAAAAATATTTCAACAGTTTTTTGATATAAGAATATACATTATTATTATTATATTATTTGTATAATTAGTTTTATAAGCAATTTTATAATTATTATTAATAATTTTTCTATATATGGACATATAAAGATTATTAATGAAAGTTAATTTTTAATTTTTTAAATGGGATAATATAATTTGTATTGTACTAATTGATACAACTTATTATTTGCTATAAAAAAATATTAAATTATTTATATCGAAAAATTTTTAATTAACGAGATATTATAATTTGAAATTCAAAAATTTATCATATAAAAGACAAGAACGCGCAACATTCTATTCATTGCTTATGCTCTCTTTATCTTTCATAAATTTTATCAAATTACAATATACAATAATAATAAACTAAAGATAACCTAAACTAAAGATTTTTCGACATAAAAAATTTAATAGTCAAACTGCAAAGAATTAAATGTCTTTTTCTTTCAAATTTTGTATAATTCATAAATATTATTATTTTTATTGTTAAATGAATATCCTAAATAATTGAAATGAATCCTAAAATAATTGAAATAAAAAGCAGAAGATTTCGAGAATTTATTTATTCCATCTAAATAAATTTCACAGATCGCAAGAAATAAATAATTGAAAATCAACAAACAAATATTTTTATTTGTAATTGTTCACGTGACTCATCCCGTGTACAAGTAAAGCAAATATGTTTTACAGTATGTTGCTGTATCATCAATTGGAAGTATTGCGTACCTGTACACTGTTATAGTAGACGGAAATGTACGTTTATATGTTAAGATAGAAATCTTTATTTATTTTATAAAAGATATTGTATATCGCATACTTGATTCGTTAATGGAAAAGGGTTAGAAAGAGACCAATAAG